CTGCCCGAAATGGAGGAAAAACGGAATAAGGAATACCTAGAGTAATGTCTACAGTCAGAAAATGCTTAAACAGCTCTCTCAATGTAGGCTTGCATGGAACGAGAGCTTTTTTATGTCCAATTTTTGCCTTTCAAAATGGACTGTAAATATAGAATGGCAATAGGTGATTGTACAAGGGTAATAACTGCTAGAAATAACCACCCACCAAACTTTCCAAGCTCTTTTGCAACTATGTGAATGGCACAAAAAGACAATTCCACAAAGCCTTGGCAGGCAGTAAAAAAAGAGTGGGAGGGGGAGGTGGCATTTGCAGAAAATAAGGCAGGCTACAACTTTTTTTTTTTAAGTCAACATTTGAAGCAAATTGTGACTTTGAGATAATAAACCCATGTCACATTTTGGTAGACCCCAGGAAATTGGGCCATTTTGGTACTTTGGGTGACCTTATGTACTGGGAACTGCTACCACCAGAGGTGGTTTGGAAAGTGGTAGAACTAGGCTTTAGCAGCCTACTAGTTCAATAGGAAGTAATAAATAATTTTATTTGTCTAACCTGGGTACTCCAGCCCCCGCGGATTGTACTTGACGCTGCGGCATGACTTTTGGGCCATGCTTGCATTCCTCCAGCCCTTCTGTGCGTCGGTAACTTACTTTCTTTTACCCTACTTGGGTTTACTACGAATTCAGTGAAGACGTGGGATGCTTCATTGGTGGAAACGCCAGTTGAACCCAATCTTAAAGTATATCTGTCCTGATTTCCGCTGTCAAATACTAAACTCTGTTGCCCTGGAAGAAGTACACCTCTCTCGGATGGTCACAAATGACTTATATCTCTCACCATCACTGCAACCATGTGTTTTTTAAAGAGGATTATTAATAAATGAAGCGTCTTCAGACATAAACAGTTTGATAAAGCTCGTTACGGAGCTGTCTACTGTACCTCTGCGACAAAAAAATTACGTGGGCAGGTGCTGCCTCCTTTAAGTTTCCACTAGCTGAACAGATTCAAGATAGATGGCTCAGACACGATGAAGTGAGAATCTAGTGACAGGAAGGAACAGATGCAAAAAAAGGGTCATCGTGAAACTACTTCACATTTTGCATTTTCCAACCGGTTCTTCTGTTGAACCGATTTTCTTAAGGCCAGCGATCAGCACACGAGATGCTCTCGTTGTATAGTATCAACCGATCTTAATCAGTATGTGTAGTCCGCAGTATTGTAGAGTTGCTGAGATCCATAAGTGACCTTGGAAGCTGTTGACGCTTCACACGCAAGGAAATTTAATGACTGGTGTTCCTTCCCTCGAGTGCTTTTGGAGCATTGACTACGTTGTAATGACTGACGCAGGAGAATGATTAAAAGGATCGCCGGGGATAAAGGTTAAAAGATGGGAGTGGGTTTGTGCTGATTTGATAGCCTGACTGTGTACTTAACAACCTTAGGCTTGTGGTCAGCAGGGATGGCTTTTGTGTCACTTTCAGTACGTACGTAGTATGCGTTCTGCTATTCAATGAAGACACTACGAGTTTGTGTGGTCTCTAGGCTACTTAATTTACCTGCTCTCAAAAAATGGGTAAGATACAAGTTGTTTAAGCCCTAAAATAGCACAATATAAAACCAAAGTAATTATTTTTAATACACAACTTTTAAGGCTAGAAGAAAAGTTAAATCAAACCAAAATGTAAACTGCCTAGTAAATAATCCTTTCCTAAAGCATTGGAAAAATTAATAGGTGGCTCTTTAATTTTAGTTCAGATTATTATATTATGCTTCAATATTTTTCCTTAAATTTATTTGACCACAAAGGGCGATGCATTTTAACAATGGGTTACAAATATAGATGTGTTGCTTCAAATTAACGAGTCAGCTTTTCAAGGCCGTCCGCTATTTAAAAGACGATTGCAACTGGCTTAATGGTGCCAATTTAGTGCTCAGTGCCTGGAGGTTACTTCAACGGTATAAATAGTAGTGGCGAAAGTAATATACACACGACAAATTGTTTTGAGACCTTAACATTTTGTCAACCCAAAGTGCGGTAAAGCTGGCCAAAAAATATTCCATTTTTGGCCTTGGAAATCTTGTTGTATGGTAGATTATAATTATTCGAGTCCAAGACCTACTGGAATAAAATCAGTAAGCACTTGCATCTATCGCGAGTTGAAAGAACTTGTGCAGTCAGTGGTAAAACAAATCTGGTTTAGGGTTAAAGGAAAAGTACAAAAAGTTCCATGTTCTGTATTTATGGGAACCAACTGCTAAGGCCAGTTGAAGGTGGACTTATGGTCGTACAAAGTCATGTTTTAGCTACTTGCAAATCTTTGATATAAGGAGTTGTTTTTGCCAACTACTCAACACATGGAAGGGTACTACCCTGCTTTACAATTACTCCTTCGGTTTGTATAGATAGTAAAAGCTTATATTTCTTATCGTCAGCGAGAGATAGCGAGCAAATACTACTGCCTCTCTGGACGCCATTGTAAAGGCATATTTTTAATTACTGATTAACCGGAAAACAATTATTTTTTTTTTGGAAAAACAGACCATTTGTTACAATTTTTCAGTGGTTTTCTGGTAAAGAAGTTATTGACCCACCAAATATGCCTATCTTATTAGTAAATAGCTTTATCTGATTGTTACTAAGTTACATTAGGTGTTTAAAAAAGGACCATGATTTTATGTAACAACACTAACAGCTTGGCTAATAGAAACATTGCTGTTATTACAAAGCTGAAAGTTTTGTCATTTACGGAACCATTTGTGATGCCCGTGTTTCTCCTAAAACCCCAACAAAGTACAGCAATATAGAAAAGTAGCTTAACATTTGGGTATAAAAAGGTTAATGGGCTACGGTCACGAACGCAAGACCATTTTGAAAGGTTGGAAGCACGAGTTGCAGGGGATGACGAGTTTCACGTGTTTAAAGGCATACTTAAACGAGCACAGATGTGTGGGGAGGTGGATTAGCATTCCTTTCTGCCTCCACCTTGATGTAAGTTTTAATAGTAGCTACACTTTTTCATTTTAAAATATTAATCGAAACCTTTAGCAAGGAATTCTGATGCACAAACTTAACCGGTCAAACCCGTTGATGGAAGATATTTGTAATCAAAACCAAGCACCTACATCGAGTGTCTGCTTATTTTGTTCAAAGTGAAATTAAAACAGAATCCTGTGTTACCAGCAATAGAGGTCTAGCCTTAAGGGTGAATGAGGAGACGTCGAGGAAAAAGACCTGTGGAACGGCCATTCATTCGTAGGTCGGGTGGGAACTTCTTCCCAGCAACCTGAAAAGCATATGTGTAAGATAAATTGCCACCTCCTTTCCGCACCCAACTAAGGTAGCTGAAGTATCAGTTTATTCCGATCATTAAATGGCTCATTGTTTACTTCAAACAAAAGATTGATTTAAAGTACTCGAACCAGTGGATGGAACATAATGCGTCTTTCCCAGGCAATATCTTTCATCTACCTCGAGGTTTGAGAAGGATCCATGCTCCAGTGAAAGTGAGATATTTTATTCGTTCCGTTAGAGATATTAGTGTAGCTCTCCATCATTTTCAAACTTAAGAAGCATCGCCCAAAAATTTGCTTTACCGTAATTTGCGCATTTTTTGAAATCCTCCTCTTGTCATAATTGAGAGGCCGTATTGCAAATTCCCTTATTAAGATTCTTGTAAATTCTACTTACTCAAGGGATTCAATGAATGCAACAAAAGTACGAAACTGTCATGCATCAGCTTGAAAGAGGGCGGAAAGTAGAGTGCGTGCCCCTTCGGGAAACCAAGGCTCGTGTGTCTCATGTCTGTCAAAGATTGTGCGCATTTCCCTCCACTTCCTGCTATCACTCGGCGCCAGGCCAAGCTGAACGCAATCTTTAAGGAAATTTAAAAAAATACCCTCCACCTTAATTAATATATGTTACATGAAAAACGAATCGCTTTAATGCATTAATTATTATGTGGTAAGGTTTTGGACAAATTGGGTTTGATTTCGTGTAAAGATGTCCTCAAAAAAGCTCTTCTTTTTCTTGGAGTGAATGCAGTATTTTATATTTGTGTTACTAACACTAAATGAAAGGAAAGTTTGACATCCAGTTCCTAATATTTAATGTCTTAGAATGAGGTGTTAAAAACTGCTGTCTGCTGATATTATGCTGTATTTGGATAATAATTTGGAGTGTTTCCAATCCACTACTTTATGTGCCAGCTAAAAGTGAATAGACAACGCTAGAATAGGCATGACTTTAAAACCGCTGCAATAATTACGAAAAAAAGTGTATTTTCCTGTCTTAGAAGCTTAAAATAAAGTTTACCTGATCTCTAAGATTTATAATAGGTACGGATTCCTTAGACTAGTTTAAGTTGAAGTGAACCCAGCGGATTTTAAGGCATGATTTATTTCCAAAGCACAAATTGAGTGGGAGGTCGTAGACATGGCCGAGTGAGTGTGCCGGAAAGTCAAAGACATAAACCGCTGAGGGTGATGGGTCTGACTGTAGTTAATTGCACCACTGCAGGGATGAGCTAGCGGACTCTCAACAGAACCCTCCAGGGTAAAACAGTAACACGTAGTTTCTTAGTTACCTACGAGCTACCGACGACAGACAAGTGGGATTCCCAATCAGGCAGTCATTTAGCCAGTATTTCCGTCCATCCTTGTGGCATTTGGCCTTAAACATCTTTAAAATTGTCTGGTTCTGGAGGTCATTTTAAAGTAATTACTTCGGAGTTGGTTGAAATTGTCTTTTTAGATCAATTTTCTTTACTTAAGGCACGCGACCAGTTTGTGTTAATTTACAGTTTATAAAAAAGTAATGAATACCGTTGCCTTCCCTCTCATTCTTCACTTTTCCCACATTTCTATTGTTGCAAGGTGCCAATCTTCCGCAGGTCAACTTCCATATATAAAGTTGCAAGCAAATTGAATTGACTTTTACAATTTATTATGTCTATCATGAATTGCCATACACGGTATTTATAAATAATATCATATCTGTTTTTCAGGCATTGAAGTAGGAGTAGATGGCAACACTTAGTGAGTTTTGAAAAATCCGTAATATCAAAATATTTTTTTTAGTATAATGTGAGATAAACAAGTGATTTTGCTCGACTTTACCTTCGTGTAGATATTTCCAACACTCTACAAACAACATTAATTAAGAGGCCTCCTTACTTCTGTTGCAGAGTGAGCAAAGCATCAGATTCTGATGAAATATTGCCCAATTCTTTCGGGTAGCGCCTTCTGTAACAATGCATTCACAAACAAAAAACTGGAAAATTAAGGAAAATAAGGAAAGACCTTTTGTGAAATTTACGAGCGGGATTGAAGCCGCTTCACAGTTGATAATTCTTAGTCCCTGTGACCATCTAGGTTTAATGGACATTTGAGAGTAAGGAAAGAGGACTGTGTCGGATTCAACAGAGCAGCAATTTGGAGTCACCTATGAGGAACCAGATCACCTGACCATTCTCATGCACCATCTGCTGGGCTTAAGCGAAATTTTATGCTATGATGTAATCTTTTTTTCAGTCTTTAAGGAAAACTGCATGGAACAAATAGTCACAGGTCATAAACTTTGGTCGTTCAACGTGGGAATTGCGAGTTCAGTACCAGTGGCAGTTTATGAACTGCAGTGAAGATTCCCTTGATTAAGTTAGAGAGATGCAGGAATGACAATGTTTATTCTTAACGCAAGAAGTGAATTTATTTTGTTACAAGTCAAGTGATGGAGTGATAAAATTAAAATAGTTTCGGGTGATCCAGGAAATTGTAAATATTTGATATATTTGGGAAGTGAGGTGTGAAAAATCGACTGCCAGTCACCGAACACGTCTCCTACGATGTTATCAATGTCTAAACTATCATTTATCGTTGGTTTTGCTTAACAAAGCACAATTTATTTAAAAGATCGAATGCGAAATAGCCTATTTTAAATGTGGGAAGTATTTATCACTTTAGACAGAAATTTTTCTTTTATATGCTACTTAAAAAAGTGACCTTGGCAACATTGGACTTAGTAAAAAGTGGTGCGCGTGACCTCCCACTTATAGCTACTACGCCTATCTGTGGTCAGTTCAGTCCAATCCACTCCAGTCCAAACATGGATTCTTGTGAGACAGGGACCTCCTAGCATCGTCTCTTATTTGCAGATGATTTTTGACACAGTACAATGCAGTAGGCCTCGTTGATTTCTGATAGATTCAGACTCAGTCAAACACGTTCACGTAAAATTGGGCATTTTTCAGCCTTGATATTGAGACAGCACAAAGGTGCGCCTGAACGTCAGTGACAGTGTCCATTGTGGAGGCTGGTAGCACTTCTGCATCACGAAGATCATCTTCATAAAGAACCATCTAGTCAGTGGAATGTTAAGTCGGGTACGTCCGCAGATCTGTGGTTTGACCTGCTGGTGAGCCTATTTCTCGAGAACGAGATACACTATGGTGAGATTAGTTACTTCACGTTGGGTATCATGACAAGCAGGCAAGCAGGCAGGTAGGCAAGCGAGGAAGAGGGGAGACAAGCAGACAGGTAGACAAGCAGCAGGTAAATGTGTAGGTGAGTAACACGTAAATCTATAAACAGGTGGAGGAATTCCAAGCTTTGCCTGTTTTTGCGCTTATCTATTGCCAAGATGAATAAGATAGTCTGACACACACAAGTAGTCAGAGAAGATAAGGGGACAAGTAGGTACTGAAAACAGGATTATCTCCAATGACTGGCACGCACTGTGCTTTATTTAAGGAAATATTAACTAGTGGAAAGTAGAAAGTGGTTAAAACCTCTATCTTATTAACTAGAGTTATTGCATTTACAATCACTGGAACGGCAGGATAATTTACTTTGACAGTGTACTATGTTATTCTTGACCTAGAATTTGGGGTAGGCTTATGATGTTCATGTTCAGAATGTCCAAATAATACAATAATTTTTTTAAAAAAAGCTGACACACAACTTACCGAATGTCTGATAACACCTTTCAAAGCAACTCCACGCACTGTGCGGATTGCATTCATAGGTGCCAAACAAAGGTGAGCTCCTGTTATTGCGGACAAGTATGCCAATGAACCAGAGAGAAGTAGCATCGCATAGGGGTCAAATTAGAGTAGCCGGTTGGTACTATTCATGGGTAAAAGTTGTCTGCCTGAAGTGCATAAATTTTTCCTCCCATTATATTCACAGCCTGGCAACTATTTTCAAAGTCGAGAGGAACATAGACTGTCAATTTTTAACCCTTGACCTTTGATATACACTTGTGAGAATATATGAGTTGTGTTGCCTATTTTCTGCAATGGTTCCTTCCCGAAATGTTTTTAATTGACTGCTTTTCCAGAAAGTACACAAGAATTTTTTCCATGCGTAAAAACTTTGGTTCTCATATCAGTCAGGGCGGTTGTAATTTTATAATGACTGCGATTGGAGACTGGTGTTTCTATTTATTTCACCGTTTTCATGACGGAGCTCAACCAGATGTTGGGTTAAATAATTAAATCATTTTTTCTTATTTATGTAAATTTTTATTTGCAAAAAATAACTAGGATCAGTATCTTATTCCTCAGATGGGGGAAGCAGATAGCATATTCTCACACGTAAACTACCGTGCACAGGAGATACTGAGTCTGCTGCCTTTTCCATCCACTGGAGTAACCAAAACAAATGAGATTTACTAAGCAATTAATGGTTTTTTATTAATTCAGGTGTAACCTACCTTAATATTCCGACTGTTCGTCTCACAATTCTTTCTGTTTTCTTGGGCACTGCCGGTGCAGTCTTTGTACTTCCACTGGTCGGCATGACTTCTGGGCGATGTCAGCAGTCTTCCACCACCTCTGTACTTTCTCAATGCATATTCTGCCCAGGCGCTGCGTCCACTTTTGACGTCAGGATAGACTAGGAATGCTACACTCGCGTCAGCAAGTGAGCCTTCCCCAGATTCTTATCAGAGAGTATCAGTTAATGCGCCTTAACCACATTCCAAAATGTTAAGAGTCTAATAGGCTCAATGTAACTTGCAAGGATGGAACCTAATTATTAAGGTGCTCGCAGCTGACAGTACTTTGCCTTTATTACTGTGGCCTTATTTATGTTATACTACCTTGGAATATGATCTACTATCACTAGGGAAAAGGGTCCTTTTGGCAATATCACTTGACCTACATGGTTAGATAGTTTGTTCCGCAGGGATTAATATCTCAGAAACGCATGTTCTGCCCTAAAATTATGTTTTCTTCCGACTTCAGGAAAGACTTGAGGCGCTACAAGGCTCTGCAAGAATAGCATTTCTGGGACTAAAAGATACCCATGCAACCTGTTTTACTCTAAATGGCAAACCACAAAACTAGAAGAACAGAACATGTCAAAGACGTAGTTAACTGAACTTTGACAATTTGGGAATCTTCATGGAAAAGAGTATGATATTTTATACTCTTTTGCAACGCTACTTGTAACTTCCCCTTGGTTATTTCAAAGAGTCTCGTGTAAGTGGCTTCAGACAGTGGCTTATTGTGTACAGCAAAAGCGTTCGTACAGCTCTTCAAACCAGACGTGAAGCCTTGGTTGAACCATCTTTTACTAGTTAAGAATCAGGACAATACAACTTCAAAAATCCCTTATCAAAAGCAATTAGAAACAAGAAATTTGTAGCAAATAATGCGTCATTTAACGAGTGAGATGAGTTGCTAATTCACTTTTTGCTACCTAGCCGGAAAAATTAATGGCAATCCATCCTAAATGGATTTTGGGCGGAAGAATCACAAATGATTCTTGAATTGCCGAGAACAAATTTTCTAAATGGCCCAAGAAAGAAAGCTTATTCCATTATGCCTTTTATCTCGATGTTTCTCCACCTATCAAAAGCTAGGTGAATGTCGGTTCTTTCTTTTTAAAGCCCGGCCTCTATTGCTGGTAATAGACGCATAATGACCTTTGAACCCGACGAACCGACACTCAGTGTAGTTGCATTGACCGAATTACAAGTCACTCTCATTGGCAAGCTTGGTTATTTTGTCCATTTTATAAAATCTCTTACCCAAAATTTTAGTTGATATTTTGGAATAAAATTGATAAGCTGTTAAAAGGTCAGCATAAAAAATGCAGGTGGGAAGAAATGCAAGTCTACCTCCCACACACATCTGCGTCTGTTTATGTGCGTGGTTAGCCGAGAGGACTTGTTGACCTCTAAAAATAGTGCTCCCATCCGTGTTTGTAACCTCCCAGCCCCTTTGTGCCCCAATGCCAAGCCATTCTCCCACACTGGCATGCTTTGTTGGGGCTTTAGGAGAGACTCAAGCACCGCAAGTGTCTCCGTAAGGGACAACACTCCAAATTTCATTTCAAAAATTTCTAGAAGCAAATTAGTTTGCAAACTCAACAAATATTTCGAATTCATAATTTTAAAAATAGCGTTTTTATTATTCATGACGATAATGATATTCCACAAAACCGAGCCCATATTTTAGTATTTGAGATACTACATTTAAAACCAAACAAGGCCATTTCCCAAAAAGATGGACGCATTTGGTGAAACAGTTATTTTCTTGTCAAAAACAAATAAAAATTTTCACAAATTTACTGCTTCTACTTTAAAGGCGATTTCTAGGTGATTTTTTAGCAACTTAGAGGCCCGCCTTTATGGTGGTGTCCCGTGAGACAGTGGCGATTACTCACTCTCACTTGCTGACAAGAAGGAGGACAAGTTTATAGGGTTTGTACGTTATTACTAAGTTCAAAAGACATTTTCTTAACTCGCTAACACTTTTGCATGTCCTCCAGATGTGGATGCAGCCTTCGGCTACGGTATTGTTGAGGTGCCTATTTTTGGATTGAAGACTTCAAGAAGGCTTATACTGTGAAGGTGGAGATTACATACTACTAAACGTGGAATGTCTTGAAGGACTTTGGTCATCACACTTACCGTCTCAATCAGGTGACGATAAATTTGTTGACTGAAAGATTGCAATTTTGACAAGACCGTTATGAAGACATAACTGCCGGATGAGGTCGCATAAAACTCTCCGTTGAAATGCCCACACAGAGCCGTAGAGACCCGTCGTCCCATCAAATCAAATTGATTTAACCGTTCAAGTTCCACTTGGCTTGATGGAATTGTAGTGTTGAGGGAAATCAATGAACGTATGAAAAGATTCCTCTGGCAATTGGCAGATGTTGAAGAGGATGGCTTCTCCAGGCCATCCACTGCGAGCTGAGGGGTCGTACTACCGCAGAATCTCTAATTGCTCCTCACTTATGGGACTGTAAATGTGTGCTTGCATTGCGGTTTGTGTGGATATTGTTGTGGAGGCTAATACACAAGTGAAATATTAACCAACCGAAGGACCATTTAAAGCATGGAAGACTTCCCGGTTTTCCATGGGTCAGCATCCATACCACAGCAAGTGGTAAGAACACGTTCCCTGCTGTAAGTGCATCATCAGCCAGGGTTAGAAACGAGGCAAGAAGAAGATGTTATGATTTTTTTGCTTGTTTTAAATTTACTACAGCCTAAGCAAAGTTCCAGAGTTCCAAGTTTTATAATGCAAGCCATTTTTTATGGGCTGTACTAGATGCGAATATTTACTTGCCAAAATTTGCTGACGGCAAAGTATTTCCCCCTTAAAAATTCCATTGTGTGTCTTCGCATCACAGATTAGTGGGTTTTGTGTATATGATAGACCAGGTTGGGGATGAATGGTGATGTGCATTCTTACAACACAACAATGCAATTTGCAGAAGAGGCGCGAGAAAGGGAATATCCCACCATGCAGCAGGGACATGTCAAAAATCTATGCAAGGAAGAGGCGGATCAAAATACAGGAAGTTAATAGCTATAGACAGTTTGGAGGCACTTTTAGAACAATTCATCAAAATTAAACCTTTCTTAAATTGTAATTTGATCTTATGCTAATCTCATTAAAAGAGAGGCATCTATAGATTTAGGAGAGTAGTCTTAGGGATATGTTACTGTAGACTGTATAAACTTAGCCGTGGTTAATAATTTGTAAGCATATTTAGATTGCAAATCAAAAAAGGAGGAGTCAAGTTCATACTAAGTAGGTATATGCCCCTCCTCTTAGTGGTAAATTGAGGAGGGCTTCACTACTAATTAATTACTTAGTAGTATCTCCACATCTACCCAGTTGCATTTTAGCCACTTATACATACGTAGGCAGTAGCAAAACTGCATTAAATTTTAAAACGTAGAATCGGATACCTTACACCTTTGTTTAAAAGACGCAGGGATGAGGTGTCATTTAAAGCATTGCTTTATTAACCACAGACCATTAAAAAATCACTTCGAATTGTTAGCATAAATGTTTAATTAAATTCTGCTTTTAACTAGATGGGAGTTAACTTCAAACCACTCAGTGTTTGACAAAGTAAAAGTTATCGGTTTAAAGCGCTACGTAGACCCCACCACAAATGAAAATTTTTGCTGCAAATTGGAGGATATCAACAAATCCGCCGTTTAATTAGCCTCTTGGAGACCGCTAATTATTTTTTTTGGCTGAAGTGTTGCCCGCTCACGAGGTTTGTAAGACCACTTTCGTGCAAAATGAGCATGAACGCATGGAAAACAGAGAGAGAACTTAAGATTTTACAATAAGGTCCTCTCTGAGATAGCGAAAATTGACTTAAGCCACTCATCTGAATGATCATTAAGTATTATAAGTTCATGCGGACGATTCTAAGTAGATGACATCTAAATTATTAACACAAAGCAAAGTAAAGATGGAAAAGTTAAAGAGAAGCTGGTGAATGATGAAGCCAGTTTCCATTGGGAGTCTAATCACATTAGGTTTTCATATTTTTTATGGTTAAATTTTCTTACTGCTTTGTTACTTTTCTAGGTACTTGACATAGCATTTTGTTTTCCCTCACGCAACTCTCCTGTCACCCGGCCAAGTAAAGCTAGCTCATCTTGAGTCAACTACACGAGCGGCGGTGACATTTTGACAACCTTGGTGCCAACGTATCTCATAGTTAACTATTCTAAGTATTTTGATGTTTTCTTTTGCTAACCTTTGTGAATTTTGGACCACAGAAGAGCTGGTTCATAAGCACATACAGTTAGAAGGATTTTGTGCCA